TAGTTTTAACAACAGTCATTATATTAATTATAACCTAGTTTATGGATTAACAGGGAGAATACGTTTAACACCAGATTTATTCTCTCATCTAACGTTCTCCTATAAACTGAACCACTAAAAGTAAAACTGTTACAAACAGTAACTGGTCTGAGACTCAAACGCAGAGATGAAGTGATACATATTTTTACATTTTTTAGATTATAAAACTAAATATAATAGTTATCTAGGCTTATTAACTTTTCAATTAGCCTTTTACCTTTTATTTCAACTTAAGCAGGTAATCTATCATTGAAGGGCTCATCTAATTGGTCAAATGCCAAAATCAGATGTACAGCCATGTAGCAGCATCTATGCTGAACGGCTGGATATAGATCTTATGCTTCTAGAGCTCACTGAGGGACCAAGAGGGGGGAATTGATCAAAAACGCTAACTTGCCTTATAAAGGGTTGAGGGGAAATACCCTTAAAGTAAAAATCTTTTTCTTATTTCTAGATGTTTTTTCCAGGGTAACTGGGTTTGCTCCAGTGTTGGTTTAACTGGTTTGTGTTTAGACTCCATTTAAGAGCGATGCAAGTGATACAATCGCTAACTTAACCTATAAAGGGTTAATGATCAAAAGGTTCCTTCAGAGACCCAATAACCCCCCCCCCTCCCGGCCTCCTCACTGAGTAATATCTCCAGGCAGGTTGTCATGGCGACAGGGCAGCGTGCTCCTTGAAGAGCCTCCCTCTGACGTCCACAGACACCTACAGCATGGGGGGGGGGGTCCATCCTCCGTTTGATCTCAGGTCCTCCTGAACCTCAGTGACGGGTCTCTGCAGCGCGTCAGGGTTTATCAGCTGATCTGGATCCTCCTGCTGGGATTTAGATGGATCACATGGCAGATCCTCCATCAGCTGACCTGCTGTTATGCAACACAGAGAATCAACCTGCAGCCTGGTGCAGGACGCCCACAGACCGCTTCTACTGCTGGGAAGCTACGTTTACACTCTGATGACGAATCAGGGCTTTAAACGATTAAACATTCACAGGGAAGAGAAGGTTTGGTTCCAAGAAATTAAACATTCACAGGGATGTTCGCAACGAGAAGGTCTGATTCAAAACAAGACTAAAACCAGAATGACTTGATTAATTTATTTATGTTTATAGATAAAGACAAAAAATATCTGCTTTGTCTCTTTCTTGGTGGCAAACTTTATTTCTGCAGCATCATTCATACAGACAGTAACTTTTAGCTTAGCCTCTAAACAAAGTTAGCTTCAAAATAATAATACAAAAAAAAGTTCAAAGAATCACGTCAAATTAATCAAATGAAAAGAAACCAGTTTTTAAAAGATGATTTAATGGATAAAATGAAGATATTCGACAATTAGATTCCACAATAGTTTAAACTGTTTAAGTTTTATATGTTTTATATTAAGGTTTATGGGATGTTTCATTGTGACC